TTCTTTCAGATAACCAACTTTCGGATAAATGATGCTCTACTATACTCAATATTCAGAGGCCTATTTTTCGGAAACACTTGGGTAGTGGGTTCTATTATTTGGACATGGAACTGTTTATGTTTAGGGCTACATGCTCACCAAGGTTCATTTGAATCAGAGATCTGAATGTATGGCTGTCTCCATGTGAGTGAAAATTGGTATGCATGCACTATGCAGTCTGTGCTCAGGATATACAAAATTAAAATTAGATTAATGGTACCATAACTCAAAAATTTCAAATGGAAGCACCAGAATTTAATGTTCAACATGAAAAGTATTTTGAAAACATATTATATAGGAACTGCAACTCAAGACCTAAAATTAAGAGTTACTGTGAATTAAAGTTGGTCAGACTGCTACTTTTCAATTATTTTGAGTTAGCCAATAGTGGTACCAGAAAAATCTTTTACTTGGTAGTCATGGGTATCTATAGATTGCATCACACAACACTTGTGTACACATGTCAGTAACTTATAAAAGCACTTCTGCCACAACTTCTTAAGTTGTTGTTATTTGAGAATATGGCTTCTGTTATATATTCAGCCATGTTTTCAAACTTAGATTGTCATGCATAGTTTGCTTCAAAAACTACTTTGTAACCAATTTTAACAAGAGTGATATAATTTAACAGCAGTATTGCAGTCATTCATGTAATAAAGTTTCACAATTTTGCTATATTGTTTTAGCATGAATCCCATTCTAATCTGTCTGTGTGCCCACTGTATTGCTATGTTTAATACATAGTGGACATTCTCACATTTGCTTAATCCATGATGATACAATCACTTTCAAAGTTAAAAATAGTGTTCCAATGATAAATGACATTTTTGCAATGCTTTTCATGGTGATAATATTAAATTCTGATACTTTCATTCAAAATTTTTTGGTTATGATAGTATTAATGTAACCAGAACCTGTACGCAGTACTCTACTTTCAATTTTGCATATCCCAAACACAGGCTACCAATGTACCAATTTTCATACAGATCTGATCCTTCAATCACAGCAATTTCTCCAGCACACTGAGTTAATACTTATAAAGCTATTGTTCTACTCCCAATAAATAATCATTTGGTATACATACTGCCAAAATATTTGTTTTATTTAACTAATCTATATTTATTTTAGAAATAAGTATATTTTCTTAAATTTTCTAATTAGATAATTTATACTTTCAATTTAATATTTATAGCTATTATACTGTAAGAAACATAAAGAAATTTATTCATTTAATAATTTTATTTCACTCTTCATTTTTGAGGTAGAATTTTATCCATATGACAATTCAACATGCTGAAAAAATTTCTGTAATTGAAGGATCTGACAAGGAAATGGCCAGATGATCGCATTTCCAATTTGAAAGTAACTTGGTGAGCATGTAGCACTAAACACAAACAGATCCTTGTCCAAATAATAGGACCTGTTTTTCAAAAATGTTTGGGTAGGTATTTCTGAAAATTGAGTGTTTAGCTTATAAGACTTTGGAAGTTTCAATTTTCCTTGTAGTTTCGATAGCCAAATGGATAAGATGTTAAACACAGGAACTATACAATAAAGGTTCGAGCCATTGCAATTTAAATTTTTTCTTTTTTCTTTTTTAATGTACAACAAAATTATTTGATTATATCATAAGCATTATTATTATTATTCCTCATGTTTAAAGCTTATAAAACAAAAGATTAAAAATGGTAACATAATTTCCCATTTAGCGAAAAATGGATTTAACTTTTCTATGCATTAAGTAGAACTTTTTATTTCTTCATATTTATTTTCAGATATTTTTGCTCCTGGTTACATACTCTGTCAACACAAGTGAATATGCTTCAGACATTACTGCAGATGGACAAAACGGACAAGTCTGATATGACAATAAGGTAGCATAGTTGCAACATTTTTTTTAATTGTTAATGTTATGGACAATTTTTTCATGCACTCAGATTTGTTACACTTCAAATATAACAATACCACCAAATCTGAAAATTAATATGAAGAAATAAAAATTTTATTTAATGACATACAAGAGTTAAATCTATAGAGACTTTGTTTTCGCTAAACAGAAGATGATGTCATGATTTTTAATTTCTTGTTTTATAAGCTTTATAATGCTAATGATACAATAAAATAATAAAATAATTTTGTTACACATAAAAAAGAAAAAAAAATTTAATTGCATCAGATCAAACCTATATTGTGTAATTCCTGTGTGTAGCATCTTATCCACTTGGCTACAAAATTACAAGGAAAATTGTAACTTCAAAAGCTTATTATAACTTATGAACTAAACACAGTAGAGCATCGTTTATCCGAATCAATTGGGGACAGGGGTTGTTCAGATAACTTATTTTTCGGATAACCNCAATTACAAAAGCATAAAATAAAATTTTATTAATATTGACTATGATATATAAGTGATATATCAACATCATGCCATAATAATATGAATAACATATTTTTGAATTTAATGCCTTTTAAAATTTAACCTTTTCCATGAATATTTGAAGCTCAACTTCTGTCAAATCAGCTAAGATCAAGATATCCTGAAAAATTTTTTAAGGCAATTCTACTCCTTTGCTTTGCATTCAATTACTGTTTTTACTCATTCCTGCAATATTCCATTTATTTTTTATCCTCATAAATGGTTTCATCCATCAGATTAATGATTTGTCCTAAATTATGATTAATTATTTAATATATGGTCATATTAAACATACCCTCAGCAGTACTGTAAACCTAATTACAATATGTTAATATACAATGTGAATATATGTGGTTTATCTGATATGTTCTTTATAACGGCCAACATCCTTCATTTTTACATAATTTTTTCAAAAGATTCTTTCTCATTGATTAGAGTTTATGAACAAATCAAGGTAATATAAATTTCCTGCAAAATAGTTAAATTTACTAATACTAAATGGCATTACTAAAGATAAAACATGATCTATATTAGTTTTCTGATGTTTATGTTTTTTATTTATTATAATGAAAATAATTACATTATTTGTGAGGTATCTTATAAGTCTATATATTCTAAAGCAAAAAGTTAGCAATTTTTTTCAAACACTATAATACAATGAGCTAGCTGTTTAACTTATAATTATCAACTTGAATGTAATGCTACCATGCTGGTGACTGGGTAAAAGTAAATTTTATTTATTACATAATATTTCTAAAAGTGGAAAGAAATTAAATACATTACAAATATAAAGAAATGTTTAATAAAAAAAAAATTAATATAAGTTGAAATCTCAATTCACTGCCAGAAGTCAGAAGTTTGTTTCATCATAAATTCTCTGATGAGCAATTAGTACAGTAGAATTGCCTTTGGGTTAATGACAAATCACCAGGTCAGTGTAGAAAGAGGAGACAAGTGAATATTAATGTTGGGGAGAAATGCAAAATGTTTAAACTTGGTTTTTGTTCATTAGTCTAGCATGAATAGTTAATACAGATATGTTGGATAAGAGCTATTATGATATTTTTTTAAAAATTTCTTATTTGAATAAAATCTAAATTCTAAAAAGTGTATAAATATTCAAAGAAAATACATTTTTTCTTATAATATTTTTTTTACTGATTCATGTATCAATAGTAACAAAATTATGTTATAAAAAATTAAGTATTTTTTAATGACGTGGCAAAATCTGACTTAATGATGCTGACTTATGGAAAGAGACAAGAAAAATGTTAACAAAAACAGTTCAGAATCTTTGTCTTTTTTAACAACAGATATATAATTCAACATTTCTTAAAAAGTCCAATAAGTTTTAAAGAAAAATCATTCAGATTAAATGTTTTTTTTCATATAATAAATTAGTTCAGAATAACTAATTTATCAATGTCTGACTTTTTATAAATACAAACTCATATTAAAATATTAAAGATATTTTTATAATTATTTGCAAAGTATTTATCAAAAATTCGTTTAAAAAAAAATATAACAGAATATAACATTATACTTATCAATCGTTTAATCAGCTTTTAATGAAAAACTATTTGGTGATGGAGTTTGCACAATGAAATTGCTTCCTTTAAGATTACAGTAGAGCATCAATTATCCGACCCCCGATTAACCGTCACATCAGTTAACCGACCGTTCTAGATGGCAAATTTCAAATGTCCATTAGTGATGTAGCACTACAATATTTGGCTATGTCTTGGCTACTTTAATATTATTTTTGTTAAATTTTTGCATGTTTTAGCTGGCAACACTGGCTCGACCATGACAGGAAGGCCAGTATTTAAACGAGATTTAATTTTCTAACTATGAGTGGTTGTTTGTTTTGTGAGCAATAAAATAATTTAAAAATAATTTTTAACGATACAATAGCTACGATCATTATTTTTTAAAAAATTTTGTTAGGAAAATTAAACAACTACAAGATGTGAAGAAAACATGTTCTGCCATGCCATGGAAAAATTGCCCACATGTGTTGAGCAGTAGGAAGGAATCAAGAAGATTTCTCCAATGTGTGTGTTGTATTGTAATTCATTCCAAGGTCTTGGAAGAAACTACCAAAAAATGCACTTTACTGTAGGTTCCTACTTAAAATATTTTCACAATACAATAGGGTCTATGAAATGAATTAATATTACAAAGCAAAAATTTATTGCTTTTAAATTATCTTCATGGATAAAATTTCAAATATTTTGTTAGATTATAAGTTTAATTAGTTTTTTTTAATTTAAGTTTTCCTTTTTATCATCAAATATGAATAAGGTATTGCATCCTTTTGTAAAAGATAAATTTATAAATTATAAAATTTTAAAATAACTATAATAATAAATAAGTCATATTACATATATTAAATTACAATAAAGATTTTATAAGATTCTAAACTTTCATGTTATGTTAATTATTAAGAGTATTTTAAAATACTTTTGTTCAAAACTTGCATTATGTAATATAAATAATTAAAATTTTTAGTAAAATTATCATTTTGGAACATATTCCAACAAACCTGTGGTAATAGGATGTTGCTTTAAATATTCTCGTCTTTTTGTAATATTTGCTAAAAGGTACTGTTTTAATTGAGCTCTTAATTCTCGTGATTTTTCATTCCCACCAAGAGCAAATATTGCTACAAAATCTAAAGGCAATTTCAATGATACCAATCCCTTATGCAGCTTCTGGGCAAACTTTTCTCTAACTTGACGACATTCATCCTACACAATAAAAAAATACTAGATATATTATANGAAGTATGTTAATAGCGATATACTAATATACTAATTACATGGGATATACTAATATGCTAGTATACTATACTAATAATGTATTTTTTCATTCTTTTCGATTATCCGATGTTTTCAGTTAGCCGACCAACCTGAGTCCCCAATTGAATCAGATAATCCATGCTCTACTGTATTTGAAATGTTTAACTTGTCCTACTACATAATCTTTCTTTATATTCTGTTTTATTTATAATAAAAAATTTTATGTTCTTACAATATTTTTTGATATTTACATTTTCAAAATAAACTGATGACTGATTTAAATTATTATCTGCATCTTCTGTACAGAAAATTGTTTTTTTATTTAAAATATCAATTACTTAATATAATGTTTATAAATAATATTTTAAAAATTGTTAAATCAATTAACTTACAATTAGCATTTAAAAATACAACCTTTTGTAAGTTTCTTAGTTTCAAGCTATTTTCCCTATCAGAAATTATCTGTTCTGTTAGAAAACATCTACTCACTAGGAACAGATATGGCCATAAAATCCAAATATTTCTTGGTTAATTGCTAATCAAAAATATTTGAATATTTCCTTGCTTTCTGTCATTTTATAGGATTGTTGTTCCTTTCAATATTAGCTTTACCACTAAACTGTCTCAATTTAATTATAATGAAAAATTTTGATATGAACTTAACATTTGTATTTTATGATTAAATTCTTTGTTTTCAAATTTATACCAAATTACCTAGTTTTCTCCAAAATTTTCCTGTGTGTCTAATATAAATTTTCCATGATAGAATTTGATATATTTCATAAACTGATTGCAATCAATTATTTCCGTTTTAATTAATATATTATATTTAATTTCATTTAATTCAAGCATTAAAATATTGATAAAAATAATATGAACGCACAACATTAGTTTCATTTTATGATTTTACATTGTTTGAAATGTTACATTTTATAATCAAATAACTGTTTCTCATAAATCATTTTTCATAACTGTTTCATAAATCACTGTTTATGTTCATTTGTTACTCTAACTCATTGTGACAAGATTCTGAAAATAATGAGTAATAATTTCTTTTGAAAACGTGTATTCTGTGCTTCAAATGGTTATAGATACCACATACAAAAGGAATGAATTATTATTATTTGCAAATCATTAGCTGAAAGTTAATTAATTCTTTTGATCAAGTCACTTTATATATTCAATCATATAAACAGCTCAAAAGTTGTGCCTGACACAGTTCCAAGGAAAATATAGCTATCTATCATTAATAGAAGTCCTGATATTAATGGCAAAATCATGTGTATATATTTTAAACTTGCAAATATTGTAAGTGATTTAACAGATTGGCAAACTTGTACTCCTAGTAACAGATATTTAAAAATAATGTATTACCTGAAGATTTTAATACATTCAGTTTGAAAAATATTATTATATTATAAAAATTAGTATTTCATTTACTATTATTTTGTTTAAATACTTACATTTAAAACTGCTGCTAAAACCAAAAATTGTTCTAAAGTTATTGTTTCAGCATAACTTGGTTCTTGACATAATTTTAACATGCAAGCAGCTGCTGTTAGTCGTAACCATGATTTTTCCATTGGACTAAAATTTATGTATTTTTTTTTATTAGTTTATATTTTTAAATTAAATTATTAAAAAGTTCAAAAATCTTACGAAACATGTTCCTTTTCCATAAGATCTCCATTATGATTAATAACAGTACTTAAAAGACGTAACGTAGACATTGCAGAATGAGTGGCAGTTTTTAATCCCAATAACCAGCGTACTATCAGTTTCATTCCTTCAATCTAAATTAACACATATATTTAAAAATTTTAATGAAATTTAACTAAAAATATAATATCAATATAAAATTTATCATTATATTATATACAATAAACTATAATAACCTTCAGGGCTTGCATTTGTAAATGCGTAAACCAAAAATCTGCACAACTTTAACAGACATACAGTAAGACCCCGCTTAACGCAGGGGATGTGTTCCTGGATGACAAAGTGCTAAGTGAAACGGCGTTAAACGAGGTCATTTTAACACAGAGTAAATAGGAAAAGGGAAAAACGCAACCAAAAATAAACAAATTTTACTTTAATTTTAAGTTATTTTTATATTAATTTGCATAATAATATTTGTTAAATAACACATAAACATATGCACACAGAAATGTAAAGTTCATTTTTTATGATGAAGGTCCTGGCTCTTCTGAAATTCTTGATTTTTGTGATAAAGTTGTGTAGTTTCATTTGTCGCTTTTTTTTTTCTTTCCTTAAGCAAATACCTGTAGCAGAAGATTGCATCCAAAACACTTAGTCTTGCTTTCACACTCTTTCAAAATCTCACTCATTCCCTACAATTTGATCAATGATTTCGGTTATCATTATCAAACTTTTACTAAGGAAATTTGTATGAAGTTCTTTGGGTTCTTCGTTTTCAGAATCTCTCTTTTCCACTTTTATATGAATTTCTTGTTCTGCTAGTTCTTGAAGGTTGTTGTTGGTAAGGCTCTCACCAGAAACCTGCAGTAACTCCTCTATATCCTGCTCATCTACATCTCCTAGTCCTGCTGTATCGATTAGGTTGACAATTTGGTCAACCTAATCGATATCGACAATTTGGTCAACCAATTTGGTCAACGAGAAGAGCATCGATTCTCGTTGACCAAATTGGCTCTTCTCATTGAGAATTCTTGGATACCTCTTCTCGTTGAGAATTCTTGGATACCTCCAGCCATAACTTCTTCCACACTCCATTCATGTTAACTCTTGCTAAACGAAATCAATATTGCCTACGGCATACATGATGTTATATTTTTTCCAAAATTGCACAAAACAAACATAGATTTAAGAGACGCACAGTGTTGCAATAAATTGCCACCTTTTGCTGATTGGTTTGTGTTCATAAATAATCATATTATATATGAATCAATGAAATGCCATGATAATTTGTATCAGCGTAAATTTTGAGTGTTTGTTTTAGGCTTCAAGCAGACTGCATTATATCAAATCAACATTAAGCATGGTCTTACTGTATTTACTATTTTTTTACAAGTAAATTTGAGAACATGCTAGCACAGATTGTCAACTGGATTTCATAGATTGTCATGGCAAAAATATTCCAAACAAACAAAATGGAACAAACTAATGAAGAGAAAAGAAGAATTGTAGTTGGCAAATTTTACAAACATGAGGAAAGGAGAGAAGCTTCACAGTTAAGCATTTTGTGGATATGGGAATGTAAGATCTCAAGCATCTACGACACCTTGTCTCTGCATCAACAATATAAAGGAGTGTATTAAGAAGAGGCTGGTCCATTCTTCAAGAATCACCATGCAGATAGCCTATATGTATTCTGGCTGGATCTTACAGTTGTGCAACAGGTACAGTTCCCACACTAGAGAAATATAGAGTCTATTACATTAGCAAAGAAAATAACATTGCAAATATTCCTAAACTGTATTCAACTGAACAATTCTAGTATCAGCTGAAACAGAAGGTATATGAAAATGGGTGGTCTACCAAAAATGTAGCAGAACTGAAACTGCACATCAAGTTCCTGTTCATGTTCCTGACTAATCATATTATAAAAATAAAGAAGTTTGATTTTTGTTTATACACCTTCACTTGCAAATTTCCTAGGAATTCTGAAATTTTTAGAAATTCTAACTTGGAAAAACTTCGTTTGTGAGTCACCTTTAACTCTCAAAATTTCCCAATGCTGTAAGTATAGGCACTTCCTGATTTACAAATAATCAATATAACAAATGTGCATAAGCAATCTTTCACTATTGTCAGTAATATGGTGAATGGCTAAACATACAAAGGTTGCTAGATTATGTAAAAAATTGGGAATTTGGCTACTTTCTGAATGATCTAAATGATAAAAAATGTCACAAAACCTTTATTGCTATAAACAGAATTTTATTATTCACAATGATAGTGTCTATAGAACTAAACTAGTTGGAATCATACTAAATTGAACAGCAACATCTATATAAAGTGGTGAATTTATTCCTGACCTTTCTTATGGGGTATATTTGAAATATTTTAAAAATAAATTTTATTATTCTCTACTTTGTTTCACCAAATCTACAAATTTAAAAATGAAGAACTTATAATTGAAAAAACTTTTTTAACTAATCTCATAAAAATCACTGCTGTGAAATATTTAATTGCAGCTAGAAATAAACAAATTCAATTGATATCATTTTAAATACAAATTACTAAGCTTGTTAATTTCTAATTTGTTTAAATACAGGTATCTCTCATACAACACTGTTTTGCTCTAGCATGGTTTGAAAATTTGGGAAATCCTCCATACACAATTTTAAAACTTTTAAGTGCAAACTTCTTCATTCAATATTTTTTTTAATCAAGTAAGCATGCATGTTATCCCAAATTTGTCCACAGATTTTAGAATACTGAAATTTTCAATCTGTTTTATGCCTTTTGTCAGGTTTACTTTAATGGAAAATAATAGTACAATCTTTATTTTCCTGGTCCTAGCTTTCTTATCAACCAGGTATTATTGATGTTGCTTTCAAACATTAGCCTTTAAGACTGTCATCATGTTTTGACTTTACAGATTAATCTTCATATTTAGTAAAGTTTATTTAAACATTTTAGGTAAATGTTATTAAACTTTTTTTAAATCACAAGTAAAGTAATCATTCATAAAAATGATGGACGAAATACAGTGGCATCTTGGTACTTGAATTGTTCCAAACTCTAACACTTCAGTAATCGAACACAAATTCTGAAAAAAAAATTTACTCAGTTCTTGATTGAACAAACGTGACCCACTAGAATACATTTTTGGTTAATAATATATTTTTACTTTTATTTTGTCATACATAAAAAATTTTTATGGTAAAAATAAAAAAAAAAGATGATGCCAATATTTCTGATCACAATCAACAAAAAAAACCTCAGAAGATAATACTTTGCAAAAAGAAAATGCCCTTGTTTAACTAAAAGTAATATTGACATGTAATACAATACTTTTAATTGTGATTGTCAATTAATTATTGATTGGAAATAAATTATTGATTGCTTTAATGAATATATTTCTCTTAACAACAAAAAAAGAATCATATATTTTTGTTAACTTTTGGAACCTAATCCCATGTTTTGTATTAGTCCTTCGTTTTGTAAAGCATAGATTTGCATAAATGGCACTTTTCAGAAAGTAACTACTGTGTTATATGAGGAATAGCTATATATTATTTAATTATGTTTCATATTTTAAGATACAATGTAAAATTTTCAAAACTTATTTTGTCCTTTAATTAATAATTATACAATAGTTTCTGTGAAGTGTATTTTTTTTTATTTAAACACAAATCAAATTAATAAAATGTTTTTAATAAAACTAAGAAATAAACATACCACTTGTGTTTTGAGTACAATTTGAATTAAAAAAAATTAATTCTATAAAATAAATTTATCACATACAACAGCATTTCTAGATTTTGTTTAAAGTATATTAAAATATAAACAAAATTTTAATATATAATATTTACTTTTTTTAAGATTATATAGTCAATTTTTTTAAGATTTACTTAAGATTTTATAGTCAAAGTAAACTAGAAAATTAAAACTTAAAATTAAACCGTAACCAATTTATATTTGACTTTCTATAATTTCATAATCAGAAATTTATCTGTTAATAAATAATAAATTAATTAATAAATATTAAAAGAATAAGCCTATAATAAAGATTCATTAATTAAGCAGATTAAAATTTTCATAATGTAAATCTAAATGTTTACACTAACATATCTAACAATAGAAATCACTACATTTAAAAAGTGAAATAATTTTCAATGAAATAACTTTTATTGAATAAGGAATAATTTTTCCCATTACTTCAGGGAAAAATACAATAATATTACATTGTTTTTGTTATAACAATGTCACTATATAAGACCTTTTAAACTAATTATAAATACAAAACATCAAACATAAGGCTACAATATTCTAATACAGTGGTTCCCAATTAGTTTTTCCTGCGTACCACTTCAAGAAAGAGCTCAAACTCGTGTACCCTTTATAGCAGAAATTTATATTAATCCACACTAATATTATAAGTTTGAAGGTAAATCCGTCTGTGTCACCTTTTCTCGTTTAAACCGCTGAACAGGTTTTAATAAAATTGGGCACAGAGATAGCTTACATGTTGGAGATGGACATGAGCTACATTTTACTGTGAGAAAATATCTTACTCCCATGAGAAAATTTGATATAATGCAGGCGAAACTGTGGGTAGTTAAAAAAACTTAATAAGTTTTTTTAAGTAATTAAAAAAACTTATTAAATAGAATAAGTTTTTTTTTACATTTATTATCTTTAAAATACAATTCTAATAATAATGAAAATAATATAAGGTTATTTAATTTTAATGTGATAAATGTGCACGATTTGCTTTGCACAACTTTGTAAAATCAGATTGCTTTTTGGTCAGCTTCAGTCTCAAGTCATCTTCGAATTGAAGCCAGTGATGATGTTCAGTTTTCATGTTTGTCATGGCCAAAAATCTGCTCTCGCAGAGGTATGTTGTGCAAAATGGTAGTAAATATTTTATTGCTGCTTCGCTGACATAATAATAATGATAATTGTACAATTAACACAAATTGTGTTAATTGTACAATTTTTGTTTCTTGTGTAAGAATTTCATTTAGGTATTGTCATAAATGCATTTTTTTAATGAAATTTTGAGAATAATTTTAGTTATGAATAAACGAATTTGTGCATTCGACATCATGTTGTAAATTGCCGAATTTTTGATGGTCCACCCATTATTTTTTTTGATTGTTTCATCTCCTGCATTTAAATTTTAAATCAACCGATTTTAGACTGCCACGTGTACCCCTTCATGCAATTTCATGTACCCCCAGGGATACGCGTACCACTAATTGGGAACCATGGTTCTAATACAATTAAAGATGATCAGAAACCATATTACCATTACAAACTGAAATCAATTCTATTATTGTTATAATGTCAGCAACTATATTTAAATTCTTTATGTTACAATATCTGTTTTATGTTTTTTTTTTTTTTTAATTTTTTTTAACAGAAGGAGAGTCATACAATCTCATACAATAAACTATTGAAAATAATTATATAAATTAAATATTGTCTTTACATCAGCTCTGTGAAAAAATATATATAAATTTTCCTCATCCTTAATGTCTTCTAATTTTAATAGGTCATATCTATATCATAACTCATCATGACCTTCTTTATAGAAACAAAAAACATGGAATTTTGATCTTGTACTGTTACATCTATAACAATTTTCATTAGATAAATCAAATATACCCTTAAATAAGTTTAAAAAAGAAGCAAAATTCTAAAAAATTCAAAAGTTTCATTTTTTAATTAAATAAACAAGTATAAATTAATTAAAAATAATTGAAAATATACTAACTGTAGGAATGAAATTCTTTTAAAGAAAATTTACATATTCATTTACCTTTACTTTTGTTTCTTCTGGTAGGAAATCATGTGAGCCCCAATTTGATTCACTACTTCTAGGTTCTTCCTAAAATTCAGCAATATATAAGAATTACTTAAATTAAAATAATATATCTTACAATTTTAAACAAAGAGTATTAATGAAAACAAAAAAAATATATATATATATATATATACAAATACNTAAACAGCATACAAGTCTGTAAATAGGAATCAATGCCTTAACATGTTCACTACTGATATAAAAATCAATTTCCCTACCAATATGTTATAAATATATATATATATTTTTTTTTTTTCATTAATACCCTTGTTTTAAAAATGTACATATATTAAAAAAATAACTTGTGAACTAGAAATTTTCAAGAATTTACAATCAAAATAATCAAATAAAATTACTTGAATGGCTTTTGGAAGAATAATTTATTAAAAAGGATTAGCAAAGAATTTCTAGGTAATGAAACAAATAACTGTTGAATAAATCAAGAAATGATGGATGATAAAATAATAAACGAGTTATATAAAAATTTGAATTTACTTTTATTTATTTACTTAATCTATCATCCCATATAAATTTATATTCATCAATAAGATCATTTAAAAAGTCATCCATTCAATTAAATTTAACAGCTTTACTTATAAATTTTTATAATTTTCCTATTTATATATAATGTTTGTATCAAAATAACATATACTATGTAGCTGCTACATAAATTTTTATTGACTTTACTGATAATAACATAACTGACACTGAATTTCTCAATAAATATTCTACTTTAAAAAAATCTGCAAAACTATTAATTGAATAAATATCAATGCAATTTCTTTTATTTTTTACATAACAGATGTCTTTTTCTTTAGAGAAACAGCTTAAAATTTTTTTCATTGTTGAAAATGAAAAATTTGATAAGCATGCATAGTTATTTAATTTAACTTAACTTATTTAAGTAAGTTAAGTTATTCCTAAATCATCATTCTTTAACTTTATGCATTCTTTTTACAGTTAAATAGTCCTTTAACGTTTTATTTATATAATTTCATAACTTTTTCACTGCTTCTATAACATTTTCTTGCAACAAAAGTGCACTTATACCAAAAATGTAGAAAGAATTTGAGAATTTATATTGCATATAATATGTCATATTATTTTCATTGTAAATGTTCATAATAATAATTAATAATGGTATTTTACTTCTCTAATCTCTGAATTAATCAGACCTTATAAAAATAGTATACAAAAATATCCTGACCAGCTAAATGACAACAGAATGACGTCTAATGTAACTTCAACTTAAATTATTTAACAAACAAGTTTATTATTTTATGGTTTCATATATTTTTAAATAATATATCAAAATTATTAAAAATGATTAGCAATGAATTTAATGTATTTTAATAAAAATAAAATTGAGTAAATAAACCAAAATAATTTTATATTTCTACATATGTTGAAACTATAATGAATTTGATTCTAATTTAGTCTTAAATCTTATTTCTGTAACTGATCAAAGTAAAAATATTTTGGCCAGTTACAGAAATAAGATTTAACATAATATGCTCAATAGGATCTGCTTTTGACAATGTAGAAAGCCACTATTTTTAGTATGACTAATACTAATTAATAATAATTAATCATCTTCTGTATCATTGTGTCTATGAGGTAATGATCAAAAAGATTTGTTTTACATTGTGATTTAAACTCTTTATTATGATCCTCTTTTAATTTTGTTTGTAAATGTCTGTATATGAACAAATGCTCTATGACGAAATCTACAAATTAAAAATTGTCTTAACCTTTCAACAGTGAAATAGTCAAGTATGATGCTATCCCAAAGTAGTGGAGAATAAACATGTGAAATTTTTAAAGTATTTTTCCACACGTTTTTTCTCATTACTGTTTCAGAAAAAGATTTTGTAAACAGTTATCTCTAGTACAGAAAAGTCTCTTTTTATTGTTACATAATTCATTTTTTAGATGAATTTTTTTTGTGGTAGTTTTTGGCGATACCCCAAAAGAATTTAATGGATATATCCGTCCCTCACTGCTGAGTGGTTAATAAAATTAAAAAAGTTAAAATTATGACAATTTCTCTGAACAATTTATTTGTTTTAATTTAAATTATACAATTAAAAGTAAATTAAATTAATATTTGAGAAACATTAGCAATATATAGCTATAGAAATATTACAACCAGTAATTCAGAATACTAACTACTGCATAAAAAGTATTTTTTGAAAAATTAAAAACTTGAGAAATAAATGACTTCTAAAATCTAAATGTTGTTCCAGAAATCATATATCCATTCAATTTTCAAAATTATTTCTGATTTATGAAATAAACCAAAATTGCATCTTTCAGTCTCTGAGTAAATATGTAGTTTATATGTTATTAAAATACCATTTTGATGTTTTTCTAATAAACAAACATTTTTTATGTTCAGTTATTTCATGAATAAATAAAAATTTTTAAAGTAAACATTCATTTACTTTTCTTGAAAAGATAAATAACATAACTCATGTAGTTATACTATAATAAATTACTATCTTANCAAGAACTGTCTGCCTGTATATGAAAAGAGCAAATGAAGTAATAAAATTACTGTAATTTAATTCACTTTTAATTATAAAAAAAAAGTCTTAATACTAGAATACAGTAGCCCCTTGTTATATTGTGCCTCATTATATTGTGAATTCAGATATATTGCAGTTTTTTTTTTAAATATCAATTGCCACTGAATTTCTTCTTGCAATAAAATACAGTAATTTATTCCTACCATTCTTGTTAAAACTACCACTGCAGGTGAAACAATAAATTTGTCAAGATAAGCAAAACAGGTGGATAGATCAATTATCATTTATGTTTTCTTTTTGATATTAAAATTGTTTATTTATTGGTTTTAAGTACTGTCTCCCCATTTACAAGTTTCTGTGAATTCAAAATTTTACACATTTATGTGAATTGAAGATATTGTCTCAATTCACATAAAGGTGTGAAATTTCAAATTCACTGTGTAATGTGTAAAAAAAAACAATTTTTTTATTTTTGAACGGAAAACTTCCCTAAAATTTTTATACAGTAGTAACTTTATTTTGCATTTTAGAGAACTTTTACTCTGTCATTTTATGTTTCAATGTTCTATTATATGTTCAATATTTATTTTTTAAATTTTCAATTACTGTATTTACAGTTTCTATTGAAAAATATTGGGTTGTTCGAAAAGTAATTTCATTTTTTTTACCACTTACGAATTAGTCGTATTTTTCCCGCCATTTTTATTCTAAACCGTATTATCATTATATATTTTGACAGCTAGCATTTTAAGGCTTATTTATAAAAAATTTTGTTTGATTTTGTGCAATTGTTCAATTTTTGTGTCTCATCAAATATGGAAGATCGAAAGCAGCATTTTCGACATATTTTGCTTTTTTATTACCAAAAAAATAAAAATGCTGTTCAAGCAAGAAAAAAATCATGTGACATGTATGGTAGAGATCTGTTGACAAAACGACAGTGCCAAAACTGGTTTACAAAATTTCGTTCTCGCAATTACAGTATTGAAAATGCACCACGTTATAGATGGCCAATTGAAGCCAATGAAAACAAAATAAAAGATACCGATTGAAGCAAAACTGCCGAATAACAACACATGAAATCACTAAGAGATTAAATTTGTCAAATTGAACTGTTTATGATTACTTCAAACAAATTGGTTTCGTTTCAAAGCTCGATATATGAATTCCACGAGTTCTTAAAGAGAAATGCTCTATTTGGTGGGATATTAAGGAAATTTTTTTTTGGAGCTTTTACCTGACAATTTAACAATTGATTTGAAAGTGTACTGCATTCGAGTAAACAAATTGTGTAATATCATCAAACAGAAAAAGCCAGCGGAATTGATAAAAAAAAAAAAACAGCTGTAGTGTTTTACCACAATAATGTCAAATTTCACACAAGTTTGGTAACTTGTCAGAAACTGTTATAACTTAGATGGGACCTGCTATCACACCGACCATATTCGCCAGACTGAGCACACTCAGATTATTACTTGTTCCGGTCTATACAAATTTTTTTTTAACTGTAAGACATTTACTTGAAATGACAATGTCAAAAATCACTTGGATCAGTTTTTT